TTTATATACGGGCCGGCGGTGCACCTATTGGGCGCCTCCATCAACGCCAATAAGTCTAATCTTGAGTTTTGTGAAAGTAATCGGACTATTGATGAGGATTGTGACAGAATAGAGCAGTCGGGCTATAGTTTCATCCCGGTGCTCTTCCCATTCATTTCCATGTTTCTCAATGGCATCGGAGAGTCATCTGTTTATTATGTTGGGATACCGTTCCTCGATGACAGTGTCGATAAAAAGAGTTCACCCATGTATATAAGTATTGAATTTTACTAGTAATGTGTATTATAAATAAAATTGTCTAAATATTGTTATCTTATATTACATTTAATTAAAACATAAATTGTTTGACAGGTCTGTCCGCATGTTTGCGTCTATTAGGTCCTGCCTTTGCATTTATACTTTCATCGTTTGTTTTAAGTTATTATGAAAACCCTTTCAGTTTAGTAATCATGAATATATTTAATATTTGATGTCATTAATAATATAATTTTAATTAATATAGTGGAAACTGGTATCACTGATCAGAGAGACCCACGTTGGATAGGAGCATGGTGGCTAGGATTCGTAATATTGGGCACTCTCATATGCATATGTGCTCTACCAATGCTACTTTTCCCTGCTGAGTTTAAGAATAAATCTGTGGTTAATTCGGAAACCGATAAGATATCACAGTTTACTACTAAAACACACAAAAAGCAAGAGTTAAGTACGTATTGACACAACCCATAGAAGTTTATAACAAAGAAAATGTTAATTATTTTGATTCAATTGTAAGGTCTGAGTAAACGTCTGTTACGTTTAGCCAAAAATCCCATTTACGTGTCGTACACATTGGGCTCTATATTCCATTGGTTTGCAGTTTTGGGATTTTACACATTCAAACCCAAGTATCTCGAGTCCCAGTATAAAAAGTCTGCCTCAACCGCCAACCTATTGTCCGGTATGTATTTGTCTTAAACTAATAATTAAAGGCATTTATTTAACATGTATTATAATACATTATTGTACAGGTATTGTGGGCACTATACCGGCAGCAATTGGTTTTTTACTAGGGGGAGCATATCTAACATTTCTTCAGCCGGGTCCCCGACAGTTGACATCATTTATTACCATTGTTGAAATCCTGGGCACAATGGGCTACGTGTCCGCCTTTTTTCTAGGCTGTCCGCCCACACCATTCGCCGCACTTCCTAAAGATAACGCCAATGATATGTAACAAACTATTGCTATAAAATGAAACACCAAATGATTTTAACAATTATTTCATAAAACCTAACTTATATAGTAATTTGAGCTCACAATTGATGTGCAATGTAAATTGTTCCTGCTCACATAAGTTCCAACCAATCTGCGGACCCGACAACTATACGACATACTTCTCTCCCTGTTATGCCGGTTGTGATCCGCGATCTCTTGTATCCATTAATGGCACAAATGTAAGAGATATTGATAGCAAATACAGTACAGCTTAACATTTAGTAACCTTTGATTATATTGGGACACAATTTCTTAAAGCATTTTTCGAGGTGTGACTGTATTGATGACATTGCGATGTCTGGGATGTCAGGGATGTCTGGAATGTCAGGAATGTCTGGGATGGTTAATCACACGGGGATAACAGGAATGGCAACCGAAGGCTTTTGTGACTCTCATTGTGGCAATAATTTTGAAATACTAATAATCCTGATGTCTATAGCGGGCATAATAGGTTGTCCCGCTATGGCCGGTAATGTGATCATATCACTCAGGTATTAAACATTTATTAACTTAATAGCTAATGTAAAAGTTTATTAATTTTTTATACTGGTATGTTTTTAAAGTTTCTTATTTTGTATCTTGACTATAAATATACATAAATCTCAAACCTATTGCATTGTATTATATATTAGAATTGTGGACGAGGAAGATAAAAGCCTGGCCATGGGAGTAGCAGGGGGGTTGGGTTCATTAATAGGTAGATTAAATTATATTTAATAAGTTATTAGAAAATTATTTAATTATAAAATAAATTTATCTAAAT